CTTACGCTCTTTTCACGCTTCCCTTTCTCTCCGCCGTGCTCTTTATTTTCTCCAAAATGCATGCACACAATTTTTTTTTACAAAAAAAAAAACCATATCGAGAAGATTCTGAGGGAGAAACCAAGGGCGATACTGTCACGGACAATGATGTAGTGGGGGAAAAAAACGTTTTAGTTTCAAAAACTATAAATTATTTTAGATGGACCTGGTATGTTTCTTTATTCGACAGTCCTTTAAAAGTCGTTTTGGTGTTTTCATAAAATCAGCGGGACACGAAAGACTTTTAGGGAAAACTAAAATAGCCTATTGAGGACATGGCAACGGTAGAATGTGTATATACATACATAAACACACACACACACACACACACATACATATATATATATATATATATATATATATATTGTGTATATAGGCCTAGTATAGTGTAGAAAATGCACGTTATATAGTGTAAACATGTATTATATTGTAGCCCCACTTTTGGCAATCAGATTATTACAATTTATGGATGCTGCTGATGAGAGAAAAAACGAACACGTGCTAAATAAGTTACACAAAGTGAATTTTTTTTTCTGCCTCGTTCTCTTGACGTGCATCTAATGTCATAAGATACGATATAAGATAATGCCAGTACATTTCTCTAAAAAAACGAATGGCAACCATTTAAACTGACCTCTTAAACTATGTGTGATGAACAATTAGCAAGACATGCAGTGTCTTTCCATTCATCTGATTTTAAACTACGATTATTAGACCGAAATTTGACATAGGATAACCTTTCTTTGCTAGACAAAAAAAAAAAAAGAAAGAAAAAAAGCCTAAATCAGCATATTGAAACCTGTGCGCAAGAGACAGTTTTCGACATTACAGTGATGTAAAGTGTGATTTGGAGAACTGAATGAACAGCATCCGATATACACCTGTTGCACAGACAAGTCAAGCCTATATCTGAGAGAGCCTAACAGCTGTCCCCTCTCGCTCCATCCCGCGAGGCTTAAAACATCTGAAGTTGGCCAGCTACCTGAGAATCGACTGTGGCTTTCATTTAGGATTTGTTCTTTAGTGTGAGTTGCCTATACAAAGCTTTGTAAGTTATTCGTTTACGAAGAAGTTGAATTGTCATAAATGCAAACTTATCCCAAGACCCCTGAACATGTGAAACATATATTAGTTTATTAATTTGTATGTTTGATTGATTTAGGCTATAACTGGTACAGGCCAACTAATGAAGCTACTTTTAATATCACTGAATAGCAGTTCCTTCCTTATTCGATGTGCTATTAATTAATCATTCACCCTCTAGGAAAGGTCAATGATTCGGTAATATTTCAAAACACTAAATTATTCACATGAAAATAACCAATCACTAGTTTGTAACTAGGTTAATTTGATGAGCCACTTGCTTTGAAATGGTAATATTAGACCGTCTTTACCGACCAGCTACTTTGTTACCGCTTAAGATTTTATGATTTGCATATATATAATATATGCAAATAATGCCATCTTATCTGGTAGATATATGATGAACAGATTTAAAAACTCTACTTATACTAAAGCACTTAAAAAGACAGAAATACCGGAACATTACAACATAATGGTGATGTGAATATATGTATCACTGCTCCACAGTCTGAAACAGGAAATGGTCAGTAACCTTTATCCTCATCCTCCGAGTCCCTCAAGGTTTTCCCTCTATTTCTTCAGTTTGTTTTCAAAAGGGCAACAGGAAGCTGGGGGATCCCGTGTGACCCCAGCATTGTTCTAGGCCTGATATCACATCCATTGACTGGGTCACATCTGTGCTGATCTGAGCTCTATGATCTGTGAGCAGGCAAAAGCTCTTGCACGTATTCACAAATCCCTCTTTGCTTCTGCGCGCGACCCTTTGTAATGGAGAAAACAGAAATTAGAAAAGTATAGGAAACCCACAAACAGACTGCATTCTAAATAAATAACGCTGTTCAGTGCTGAACTACGTGCTATTCTACAAGATCTAGAAATTCTAGAATACTAGAACTAGAAATACTCTACTAGAACTAGAACATAGGCCTATTTCTTAGACTTTAAATATAGGATTTGAGCCATTATTAATTTAGATTATAATGAAGACACGTGTAACATATAGGATAATGATAAGGATTCAAAGTACCTATGTTCATAAAAAGGACTTATCCTAAACTTATCCTGAACTGGAGCCGTTGCAATTAATAGTCTACGCACAAGCTTTTGTTTTGTTAAATGGTTAATTTTAACGGGCTGCATACCAAGGAAGCCAACGTGATTCAAGAGTGTTAATCCTCAAGGATTTCTCTAGGATAAAAATGGTCCATCAAATTACCATGAGCCGCAATATTACAGCTTTTAAAAGTTTTGCGTTTCTTTGTTATGGCTGGTTTGGGAAAGTGAGAAATGTCACATGTGAGCACACTGTCTTTTAGAAACATTTTAGGCTTACCTTTTTACTTTAGGATTACTTTATAATTAAGAGTTTTACTTTCTAAGCAAGACTTAAATGTTCATAATTATCAGCTTTACAAAACAAACATAACTTTAATGTCATGTTATAAAAATCATATTAAACTCACATTTACAAAACAGTAAACTGAAAATTTTAATTTACATACGTACATCGTATAGGCTAACAATGTGTGTGTGTGTGTGTGTGTGTGTGTGTGTGTGTCCTGTTCATTCTTATTGTTTTTTCTTTAATAGGTTTTCACACTACTACCTTTATATGTCAAAATTTGAAATTATTTTGAAACAAGAATTAAAAGTGGCATTTTAATTAAAATTATTATCATAACAACAAAAATATATATATATATTTTTCAAACATGCCTTTTTAGGTAGATTATAGCTTATTGAAATCTTATGTACTGAATCTATGGCGAGATTGGTAATTTAAACAAACCCAATATTATATGAAAGAGCACTGCATTTACAGCAAATACATGTTTTGCTAGCGCCCCAACAGGTCTCTGCAGTAGTTAAAATATGTTTAAAAAGTTACTTATGATTTATCAAATACTTGACAATACGATAACTGAAGAGCCTATAGTATAGCCATAGACTAAGCATCATCACAGGTACACAAAGTAGCCTACTCAGAAATTAAAGACTTGCGGTTTGAGTGTTAGGCTATACATAAACTATAAAAAACATAAATAAATAAATAAATTGACAGTTTTATCCTAACCCCTGCTCTTTTGTAGCCAATGATGACCACACATTATGCTCACCTTGTAACAACTAACATTCGTCCCACCAAGTCAGTTGGAAGTTCAACGATTCTAAACAAGAAGTATTCTGTCAATATTCCATTCAAAAACTGCGTGCTGCATATAGCCATGTTTTCATAAATGTGTCTATTATCACAAGAATGGTTGTGCCCTGTTTGTGTCTATCTAGATTAAACAACGACTTTGGATATGCAGACATAGATTTATCTAAACTTACGGTCATTAAATAAAGCCGAAGATCCCTCAGTTAAGTCGAAAATGAAAACCAAAAGTTGACTTGATTAGTCCACGATTTTCCAGGGACGAAAAAGTGAGCACGAGAGTGAGTTACGTTAGCTCTGGAGCTAAATACCACACTATGGGCCATGCGTCCCCTTTTAGTTAGCCCATCTGATTTGCATCAAGGCCAAAAATCTGTACTGAAACGTTCCAATAAGCTCACTTCTAAAGTGGTCGTTTGTTTCATTTTGACGCTCCAGGGCGCCATGTACGCTCCAAAGATCACTGTTGGTTTGCTTCGCTGGTTTCTTTTAAAGCGCCTCAGCCACGCCATCTACTCCTATTTAAAACTACTGGAGTGAGTTACTTTTCGGTGATTCACGATAACTCTTTGCGAACCGTTATAACGATAGAATAAAGCGATTGATTTAACGAAATATTTTTGGATACGAATACCCTGTTCAAGGACAGAACATCACAACACACTTAAGCCAGACCAACAGGGACACCGCATAGCCAATACTAACATTTCAAATGATGGCGGTTTGTTTTAGGCTATACTGATAACGAGGAACGTAATGCATAATGTAAAACATTAAAAACTGGACATGGAAACGGATGGGAAATTAAAATAGCCGTTTTGAGTGATGCTCCACAGAGAATTGCCCTGCGTAATTAGTTAGTTCATTATCGTACGCAGGCCTAAATACACTGGTGTAGACTTATACAGATTGTTGACTTTACAGTAAAAATAGCATAGCAATCCATACTGTGGAATAAGAAGTCTACGAAATTACAAAATTGGACAGTGTGTGATCTACCACCGAATTACGTGTAAAATTCAACACACCCCTCCCCCAGTGCGATTTATAAACGACATAGTTTTAAGAGGCTACTCAAAAAGACAGCGGTTCCACATACAGACAAATAACCAAATGTGTTTGTCAAATAATTTGTTTATCTTTTCAGTAGTTGGTGATGTGAAAACGAAAACGCAAAATATTGGGATGCTGAACACTTCTGAGCTATAGAGTACTACCGCTTTAAGCATTGAGAATAAGGCGAGGTTGGGTGCTGTCATTTACTCGAGAGTCACTGGATATATATATATATATATATATATATAGGCTGCATATATACTGCTGCTATGATAGGCTACATGTAGAATTATTATTATTATTAATACATTTTATTGTTGTTTTTATTATTATTTTCACCACAATAATAATAATAAAGGCACGTGTCTAGGAGACCGGACTGCGACGTCACCCGGGGGACTCGTATTAAAAATAAGAACAAAAATCCGTAGTGAAAGTATTCTAGAGCCAGTTTGCGTTTCCTTATTTACTAGAGCAGGTCTACTGCTTTGATACTGCATAGATTAAATTTGCCTGTATATTTTACAAAGTAGATATAAAGACAATTGCAAAGGGCACACTGTGGAATTAATTTCTAAAACTATGTTTTTTCTTTCTACGCACACAAGGCGGTTTCGTCGAATTTAACCGACAAAAGAATCAGAAAAAAGGATTTGTCCTTTTTTCCTGGTCGTTTCTCTTTGCACTAAGAAATAAGGAAAATATACCACAAAAACTGGAACACAAACATACGCGTTTGGGCGAGAGAGATAAGGGTTAAAAAGAACATTTGGAGAGTTTCACTATGGAAGAAAATGATCACAGCAACAGAGATGTGGAGCGCCAGGACTCGGGCGATGAGTCCAATAGAGCTATTCTGCCCCTGTTGCAGGCTCCTGGAAACCTACTGCCTCACAGAATCACCAACTTTTACATCGACAACATTTTGAGACCAGACTTTGGTCGCAGGAAAGAAGGAATCAGTCGCGACGAAATTAATATAGTAGAAAGAGAGAACCGCTGTCCAGGGCAGGTAGGAGCTCCAGTGTCAGGGGAAGGAACCTCGAGCCCTCATCCAGTGAGCGCGTCTAAAAAAACTGATATTACCGCGGACGCACCTCTGAAACCCCGTGCAGAGACTGGAGATCAATGTTTAAGCTCAGATTCGGATTGCTCGCAAAGTAACGCTGCGCAGACGAACCAACCAATACTTTGGCCGGCTTGGGTATATTGCACAAGATATTCAGACAGACCTTCATCAGGTAGGAATTTATTCTGTTCACAATTCTATTTATGTACTCAAATATCATCTGTTAGCCTATAAAAGCGCGCATGCGTTTTGACTTGAAAGTGAGCAAATAAAACACTAAACTATTAGGCTACAGAAATTTTGTCGATGAAAAGGGGTACGAAAACGAAGCACAAATGTTCTTCATGAATGTGAAACGGCCCGCCAAGAGTCAGGGAGTTTTCTTTTATGGAG